TATCAACTCTCTAAGCTGGTTGCAGGCTTGGAAGTTTTGTGTCTTTGTCCCCACTGACCAGAGACTCTCTTGGTCCTTGGACACAGCATCCCTGAATAACTGTTTGCTCAGATTAATGCTTCACTGGTGCTCTTTCCCCACCAGTGTCATTCTGGGGGGCCTGCATGGTGGGGCACCCCATACCTTTTCCACCTCTCTGTGCATCTCACGAGCCATTGYCTTCATTTTCTGTTGCAGCTGGGTGATGTTCAGCTTCAGCTCTGTGGCAGCCTTGCGGAATTGATCCAGCTCCTCCTCCATCTGAAAGGAAGCAGGAGGAGGAAATCAGCACTAAAAGGAGAAGTGAAAAAACAACACATAACAGGAAAACCAGAGACTGGAAATACAGACTTGAGGGAATAGGTCCCCCTTCAGGCTGAACGACAACACGAGAAATGTCAATTTTGTAACAACACTGCCCTCTGTCAGAACACACAGAAACCACACAAATGAATGTGAAACTCCCTGTTGAGTTACACTGATTTAAATTATGTGATGCCCCTTCATTTCCTTGAGCCAAACTGGAGCTTTACTGCTCCATCTGAATAAAACCAGAAGAGATGGAAATGAAGAGTCAATACTGGGAAGAGTAAGGGCAACAATAACTAGAACCTGATACTGAAAAGAAACGAATGGATTGAAAAGTGTGGGTATATATGTAGAACATGCAGGAGAAAACAATACAGGTACTACAGCATTTACTGATGGCACAAGATGGTGATCAGAAAAGAGAACAGGGAATTCATCATGCTAGTTTGAAGTACATACAATTTTTTTCACTGGTTTGAATTTTATTTAAAAGGCTCTGTCACCACAGTCCCAGTTTGGCTGAGCTAAAGATACATCTATGCAGATATCATAGTAAGTTTCTGTCATAAATAAGTTCCCTCAATTAATTTGCTGCAAGCTAAGTATGAATACGTTCATATTTCCCATGTATCAACTGAGGAATATAATTTCTCCATGTGCTTAAACCCTAAGCAGAGTTATGTTTGCATAAATCTGCAACATTTCTGAGAAATTTACTCCCTTTTCCCCAGATCAGTAAAAACAAAAGGTTTGTCTTGCAAACCTTACAGGGCACATGGAGGGCAACCACATAATGGTAAAATCTATTTTGAAGCAAAATCTAGATTTRCATACTGAAACAGGAATTGAACTATGTTGATTAAGGATAGCATGTGATAGAAAATTAAATAGATATTGTATGCAAATATTATTAAGCAAATATTAGCTGCATGAATATTGAATCAGTGCTGTGTGTCCTTGAAAGAAGTTAAGAAACAAACAGGGTGGAATCTTTTATGGACTTAYCGGGTCATCTTTGTACTCAACAGGCTTAGCAGAGGCCAAACCAGAGTGTTACTCACCTCCTGCCTCTGTTTCTTCATTTTCCCAATATCAYTGTCACGTGACTCTACTTGCTTCTTAAATTCCTCTATTCTTTGACTCAGTAGAAACTTGAAATTTAGTAATTCCTGATTTTTCATTTTTAGATCATATACCTGCTTTTCCTGGAATAAATGGGTACAGAGATCTGAATCAGACCCAGCCCTCTCGAACAGATCCCCAGAACAAGGCACAAATACAGAAGAGGCAAAACCAGCAGTCACAGATCTTGTGGAAGCCTAAACTTCAGTTGCAATCTACAGATTAGATGAGATGGAAGGGGACAAATAATGCAGAGCCATCTACAGATCCCAGAGCAGGGGATGAGAAAGTCAACATCCTGAACTTGAGTTCCTCAAGAAAAGCTTAGAATGCCAACYGAAAACCAAAATCCCAAACTGGAGATCATGAAAGTTGCTTAAGCTGAAACTGAGTTTCAATTCATATTATCACAACAAATATTATTAAAGTAAATATCTCTGTTAAATTAAGGGAGGTGATTTTTGATCTCAGCTAATTGTCCACTTTCTCACCTTCTCTAGGATAGTGTCAGTTCTCTCTTTAACCTCTGTCTTTAGTGCCAAGATTTCCTTCTGTAGTGATCTGATGATGTCTTGCAGCTTCTGCTGTTCCAGTCTCATTTCCTCAATATCCCTGTTTCGGTCCTTGAGCTCCTTCTGTAGGCTGTTCAACTAGAGTGGCACACAAACAAGAACTTAACAGCCTCCAAAAGCTGTGCACAGCTTGGCYATCCTATTCTGTAGGATACCTTGTAGATAGTGTGGGATAAAGGATATCAAATTAAGGTATGAGGAAGGAGCATCACATCAGTTAAATGCCTGTAACTCAAAAGGGTGTTGAATATCCATTTTTGTTTTTTCTGTATATTCTGACCAGAATACCTACTGCATTACAAGGAAGCAAGGAAATGGCATCCAAAAGCAGCAAGTGTATGGACGTTATACCTACACATCAGCTGCAAATACCACTAAATCCATGGAAAATTCTTGTAAGGTGAACATTTGCCATGCATCTCTAAAGATGGAAGACAGGAAGGGTGCCCAGTTCATAGCTCTTGGGCATCCTCGAAATCCCTGCCTCAGTACTAAGATCTGCGAAGCCAAGAACGTTGGAACCAATGAAAGGTGCTGGGCAAACTGTAAGGACACATGAAGAAATTCCTGAAGTCAAAAAGACAAACAAACTAAAGACAGTACCATGATAGCACAGGGTATGAAAAGAAGCTCCCTGTCTCCAGACAGATACTGAAGAAAACAAAAAAGAAAAAACGTCCCTCTAACATCCTTAGGCAAATGTAATATCCAATCAATAAAAGAGGTAAAAGATTTTATGCTCCTTAAAATTCTAGTAATGCCAATAAAAAATGATGATGCATACAAAACACGGGGATTAATTCAATGAATGAAGCAGCAGAAGTGTTTTACTAATAAAGCAAAGTATTAAATCTTAGAAAAATTAAAAGGTTCATTTCTTTCCTGTCATAGGATCAACAATATTATTTATAGTTTAAAACTATGTTGATAAGAGAAAGTGTACTAATAAAAACACACATCCTTTATCATCTCTCTCTAATCATATCAACAATACAATCAACAGACAGCTTGTTCTTCTGCCCAAATACTCCAAACATTCCAACTGACCTGAGAATGGGCTACTGTTTTCATATGAAATGCTACATATTTACATGCTAGATTAATGGACTAAATTTACATGCCATTAATCACATTCAATCCTCAGTTATAGGTCTTGGTGTGCAAGTCTGATCCCATCACGGAATAAAAGATACCCTTTTATTCAAGACTCCTATTTCTCCTCTCAGTTGAATGTTGGACTCCTTTTCTTCCAAGAGCTGTCTCTCATACTTGTCTTTGAGCTCCAAGATTTCTGCGTCTCCATCTTCGTAAATTTGTTTCTCCATTTCTTCATGTGCTTGAATCTGCTTCTTCATATTCTCCTTTGCCTGCAGTTAAGGAAAGCAAACATTAGAGAAGACAACAGTAAGAGACAGGTAAAGGAGAGAAATTAAAGGTTATTTGTGTTTCTTCTGGGAGGATCTATATTTAGTGGAATCTTCAATTGCAGTAATATCATCTAAGATAGCTTCCTAGTGGATTAAACTAACTTTAAAAACTGGTAACATACACATTAAAAGCTTTTATTTTTAAAATAATTCTTAATACTTTAATGCTTCAAATTAGGAATCTGGCCCAAATACTAACATCAGCAAACTTGTTCTRGATTTAGAAATCACAAAACAGTATCACTTAGAATATTTTAAAATTGCTGTTTCTGAACCATTGGGACCAATACATACTCAGGTTTACCTCAGTCTCTGTATGCCTCTCTTCCTACATTTTCAAATTTGTATTGCAACACAGGGCTGCAAATGGTAATGGTGATAGGATTTTCTCTAAATATGTAAGTTTCAGTTATCTGGCTGCCTTTTGATGAGCCAAATCTTTGACCTCAATGTGCAGGAGCTTTTTGAAGTATTCAGGATATTTATCTTTGTTCCCCAAATTATGCAGGTGAGAACCTGCATAATTTGGGGAACAGGACTCAGGGATGTAATTCACCATTTTCAAAATGTTATCTCCTCACTAGAACAACATGAGTGAATCTTTCTTTCTTCAATTACAGTAAAGTTATCATCTAAATCACATTAATAAACAGGAATTCTGGGATATAGGAGAAATGGAGATGAAGCTGAGAATGCCCAAGGATATTAATCTTAGCAAGTTACTCAAGGTATGAAACCCTGAAAAGCTGGTAACTCAGCTGGATCTTCCTTATTACTATTCTACTATTCCTGTCAAAATAATTTTCCATGGTTACAGGCAGATCAGGATTTGCATGGAAGATGCACACCTCTCCTGTCCTAGAGAACATTTTATCACAGCTGAAGATAAATTTGGCCAACAAATCAAACTGCAGATCAAGTTTCCTACCTCTTCCAACAGAGCAGATTTGTCTGCAAGTTTTTTCTCATAAGATTCTTTTAGCTCCYTCAGAGCCTTGCTTTTGCTTTCCTCCAAATGGTGCAATTTTTTCTCATATTCCTCCTCCATCTTCTGGGATTTCACCTGCAGTTCCTGATATTTATCTTTTTCCATTGAGAGTTTCTGACAACTGTCAGATTCTGTTAACAGGAGACATATGGAATAGAAAGAGGGGTGAATCCTATCCTTCTGCAGCTATTGCTGTCTTATTCTCTACTGTCTTTTTGGCAGCTGGTTGCAATAAATTACAAGCAGAAATATTTAATCACTTTCTTCATCAGATATACAAGGGCTTTAGACTCTGAACTAATACAAAATTGACAACTAATGTAGGCATTTCCTTGGGATGGYAACCATGGCAGAGCTGTATAAGCTTAATTGCTACAAAGCATGAGTAGGCAAWGGACTCATTTATGGGTGGACTTGCCCTTTGGCACTAATTTGCATTATTTTTATCTTGATTAYGAATCTGGATTGCAGGCTGTGTGCACCGTGCATTACCTCCTTGCTGAACTGAATGACTGCACTGTTCTTGCACAGTGAGCTATAAAATAAACAAATAAATTACCAATCTCAAGAACCAAACCTCTAAGATGCAAGGCCCATGTGGATGTTCCCATCATGGGCATGTGTGTGGTGCAGTTTAGACAAACATTTCGTCTGCTCCAAATACCTACATGGCATACATTCATTTTTCTTCATACTTCTACTCTAGTAATCCCTCCCTGTCACATGATTTGCTATCAATAAAGCATTTCCCTCAATTTCTAGTTACAAACACTTGTTATAGTCTAACCTAGCTGTTGCACCTTCCTGGCCTGTTCATCCAGCAGCTTAGACAGATGAACCTGGTGTTGTCGCTCCTCTTTTTCTTTCTCTTCCTGTAAAATCTGGGGGGRAAAAAAAGAAAAATACATTTTAATTTGAAGCTAGGCAAATGTCCAATGTCCAAATTGTTTGTGCTCTTGCCCTGGTGATGGATATGTACCCAACAGAAATATGTTTGAAATCTCTCACCAAAATTCAGATGCCATGTGTCACTAAAACAAGTTTTCCCAGATATTARTTTGTCTTCACAAGTTAAGCTAAGGAAAGCTAAGGAAAAGCAGCAAACAGAGTTTATATAATACAGAGTACTGATCCTAATCTAAAAAGAAAAGTTTGTGAGCTACAAAAGCCTCCTTTATGTGTGCCTGCTTGAGGAGAATTTGAAATTCCATAAATTATTGTCCAGATATTAAAGTTCAAGCTGCTTCCTGTCTCACTTGAAGCAACCCTGAGGTCCTAAAATGCTGRCATTTGCACAGTGTGACATAAACCTAAGCAAGAGTGAGTTTTGAATGCCATTTGCTTGGAATGTCAGACTGCCATTACAAATTACTTAATCTTCTAAAAAAGCACAAAGAACTGGAGCAAGAAAACAGCTGAGAAATTTCTCAGAAGGGCTAGGAATTGTATCATAGRTACAAAATTTTCACTTCCTTCTTACAACAACTGCATAGGTCTTGCCTAAGCAGAAATATTCCATTTGTCCGAAGGATACAGCTAGAAAGGTTAGCCCCAAGTCTAAAGCTGTCATTYAGTTTAATCTTAACATGTACTGATACTTGGACAGGAAGTACAACTTGCCTGCCTAGAGAACTTTTATTCACCTTCAAAGGCATTTACTTGCAAGCCTTAATCAACCAGTCTAAAGAATTTTCAGTGTAGCTGAGATTATTATAACTTTATAGCCAAACACTAATTATTAAAAGACCTGAAGAACTGCAGAAAAAGCCCAGCAGAGATAAAACAGAGGTAGAGGAATCCACAAGAATTGAAATGGCTTTCTTGTACAAGGTTAGGTTCTACAAAAGAGTGGAAAAACAGAAAAGTTAAAACTCAGGTTATTTAGACAAAAAGAACCACAATGAAACAAGCAAAAGTCTGAAGAACTAACTGAAGAAAACATTAAAATGAATAATTAAATTTCCTAAAAAAATAAGTATCAAAAACCTACTAGAACCTTTGTAGGGCCAAAAGACAAGAAAGGCATAAAAACAGCACTTGAAAATTACAAGCCTATAAAGCACTAGAAGTAGTAAGTAACTTGGCAAGCTTTCATACTGAACTCCTTTAGAGTCAAACAGAAATACTGCTTGAAAGGATACACACAGCTCAACAAAATMAGCAGAAATAAATCACCAGAACAGGACAATATTCACCCAAAAGCTCAAAAAGAACATGAGGGTGGCAGGATTGAATCATGTGATGTGTAATCTCTTCCTTCAAGCTGCTTTACTGCCAGAGAAATTACAACTGGATCCCTTGCCTTTTACATCTAAACGAAGTCCAGAMATACAACAAATTACAGGTCAGAAATGCGGTGTGTGCACCAGACAGATGGACAGAAGAGCATCATCAGACACAGACAAATAAGACACTGGGAAGAATTATCATAGCCTGTGCTTTTCAGGGAAGTCCTGCTTCATGAACAGAAGGAATCCAGGGAATGTATTTAACTTTTATTTTCAAAAAGACATACAAGAAACCTCAGCTGATGYTCTCAAAAATCTAAGCAAAACATAACGAAGGCAGCATTAAGGAGGATAATTGTTAGATCCTACAACTGCAACCTTATATGCAAAGGAGCTTTTAAGGCACAGTTGATTTCTGCTATTGATCCTCAGTCTCAGAGAGTATTTATTGTGCTGTTTTTTATGTGAAGATACTTCTAGGCTACCTAGRAGAATTCACATCCCCTTGTACCTGTAAGATACTTGACTCAAAGATAGTTTCATGCTTTACAAATATCATCTTAACTGGAAAAGAATGATTTCAGATGCTGTATGGCATCCCCACACATGTAATGCAAGCTTGAAGTCAACTCCTCAGTGAAAGATTTCTTAGTATTTGCTTCTGCAATATGAATCATACCTGGTATTTGTTTTTAAGTAAGTCTATTTCCCGAGTGAAGTTCTCTTCCAATGACTTTATTTTTCCATCAAAGTACATGTCCTTGAGACGTAGCTCATAATCACTTTCTGTCTGTAGATCTTTCACACAAATCTGCAGGTCTAGTATTGCCTGACTCTGTTAGGACACAGGTGAGAGAACAGTTGTAAGAGAGAGAGTATGTGCCATTAGCAACAACTTGTTAAGGAAGTTTTATTTACATGCACATATTTATGAACAACCGCCTTTACAGAGAATCTTCAAACAGACCAAGAAGTTCTAGAAGTAAGGTTCCTTTGCTGGCTTACAAGATGGTTTATAGAAATGCATCTTCTGACTTCTCTACTCCATGAAAAGTRTTCAAGAGATTGGGGAAAGTATTAGAGAAAAGTCTAAACCTCTCTCCACACTCCCTGTTTGTATAATGTTGTTTGCATATTGACAAGCCAYTGCAGCAACTTCTGTAACCTCTTTGACCAAAGCCATGCAAGCCATATAGAAATGGCTCGTAACAAGCATCATGCAAATGCAATTCACAGAAATGCTATGGTTTATGTTCACAAGTTGCTCCTCCTACCTTCTCATTTATGTCTGATCTCATGATCAAGACTTCCTCAGCATACTCAAGCTCCTTTTTTCCTGTCGGTGCCCCACCTTCTTTATCATGCACTTTCCAGATAAATATACAGCCATCCTCTGAGGCAGTCAGTAGATATTGGTCATCACTTGTTACTGTCATCTTAGAAGGAAGAGACAACAAAATAATAGATGAGACATGGAAGAATGGAGACACGGTTCTATTTTACACCAAATTTTTCTCCCTACCCACATATTCCTTTCATTTCCACCACAGAAAGTCAACAGTGGAAATAATAACATAGTCCCACTATCAACATTTTAATAATGTCCTCTACTCCTGTTCCACCCTGGTTGAAACAACAGGASAAGGGAAAGAACATGTGCAGACATTAGATCTGCTTCTGGTCTCAAAGCCATAAGATTTTTGAAAACCWGAAAGAGAAAAGACCTTCTAGACAATTATAGCACACACAAGCAATTCATAAGACAATTCCAAAGGTTTCTAGTTTTTCTTTGAGAAGTTGTGTGAGTGACAGATGGCTAAATGTTTTCTTTTTAAACGACAACTAAGCTCACCGAGAACTATCTAGTAATAGCTGCTGTCACCTCCTCCAGACTTCCTGTGGCTGCCTGATCTGGCACAGAGTACCTTGCAAATGAGGTGACAGTAGAGTTACAGTAATTGAAGTTCATACTCTAATGTTGGAACTGTGCAAGGATAAGTCAAGGTGCTGTAGTTGACAGTGATACTTAAAATGCCAAGATTATGACCAGTTTTAACAACACAGAAGATGTGGCTTTCTGGAGAATGGGAATCTACCAAAGCACACTGAGGGAGCTGGCAGAAGTGYTCAGGGAGCCCTTTCAGCCATTTGGCAGCAGTGCTGGCTCACTAGGGAAGTCTCAGCTGTCTGGAAATGGGCAAATGTGGCACCCCTCTACAAGTGGAAGTGGTGAAATCACCATCCCTGGAGGCATTTAATAAACCTGTAGATGTGGTGCTTGGGGACATGGTTTAATATGGACTTGGCAGTGCTGGATTAACAGGACTTGATGATCTGGAAGATCTTTCCCAACCTAGATGATTCTATGACAAAATTACCTTCCTCAGAAAGAGCTGTATCAAAGTTATCCATCCAATATGCCATGTTTTGTAACCTGGTGCAAGCCGCTTTCTAGCCAACAGCTTATTCCCTGACATATCTAGAGACAGGACCCCTATGAATGCTGAAATACTCATTTTCCATCTGCAGACTCAACCTTAATTTTAACATACTATGCTATGAAGTGGGAAGGAGACTCAGCCCTAAAGGGGCTGTGTGCAGCTGGTACCAAAGGGAAAAGAAAAGAACTCTGTGCTACCTTTGTAACAGCACCTGCATGGGCCTGGTACTCGTTGAAATCTTTCTTCAGAGTTAATGGGTACTTCATGGCTCGAATTGTCCCCAGGGATGTACCAACAAATACCATACGCCCGGAACGAGAGACGGCAACCGTGGTATAAACAACATCATAAGCAGACACTTCCTGCTGGATCTGAAAAATAAACCAACACCACAAACCACCACACAAAACCCTCACATTACATTAAGTATTTAATTATATATTGCATGAGCAATTGTTATACCTCTGCCTGCAGCAAATAATGCAATTGAAAGGATCTACATGCAGAAGTAAAGCCTGAACAATAATTATTATCAAACTTTATACATTTTTAAAAAATGAGTTTAGATTTAAAATAAATATTTAGATATAAATTCTCTATATTTATTATAGATATGTACTGTTAAAATTTCAAGCCAAGCTGATGTGTTATCTGACAGATGTAAAGGTTATCACATACAATTTATTACTTTTCTTGAAAAAAATGCATGTAGATACAGTAGTAGATATGAGACACTTGTATTTCAGCAAAACAGTTGGTGCAGTATTGCCTAGTTAGTTTGTTAGCCGGATTAGAAGATTTTTATGTAAACCCAAGTAAAATTACAAAAATAAAAAAAATACAACAAAATCTCAGGCTCATGGTAAAGGATGTAAGAACACAAATGTGTCAGTAAACATCRCACACAGCTCTCAAAACCAGACCGACTCCTATTTACCAAATGGATGCTAAGGAAAGCACCAGTACCCTCCCCACAGAATTTAGCAAAATCCCAGCGTGTTTGTTAGCTCACCGAAGACTCTGAAATTTCTTTAAGAGTTTGGTCAGATCCAACAGCAAAGATAATTTTGGCATCATAAGTCAGGGAAATGCTGCTGTAGATGCAGGTCTTGAGCACACACTCAGACTCCTTTTTACTTGTCAGCAAGTTCCACGCATACACAGCACCATGTGTGTCACAGGAGACAAATTTAGTGTCATCTGCACTCCATTTGATTGCATGTATCTGGCAAAAGCAAAACACACCAAGGAGCTTGATGTGCAGGTTATAGACATAGAGCACAGAGTCGCTTTACTGGTTAATCTGAGGTGACAACCTCAGAATCATACTTCAAAGTCGCACTGAAAGACCTCAAGATGTTTCTCAATCATTTCTACATTAGCATTAAAAAAACCCAAACCAGTAAGAACTGCTTTATGAACACACTGTCAGGAAAAAAGATAATTTCAATACTGAGTAGTAGATTTTATTTTTATAATTTATTACTGGGATATTTTATTTTGTTGAGCCACCTGCCCATCATTCACCTCCAATTTAAGGACAGACTTTTCAGATTTATCTAGTACATGAACACTTTGCCTTCTGACCAAAGAAAACTGATTTTTTAATTTCTGTTTTTACTTTTTGAGGCCATTTCAAGATCCATGATTATACTTTACCTCTTCAAAATGAATCTTATCAACTAGTTACTCTCCTAATAGATTGTATTGTATAAGATTTGTTTACTAACCTTCCCAGTATGTCCTTGCAGATTACTAATATTCTCAAAGGTGATGCTAGAATAAATTTGAATCACATTTCCATTAACTGCAGCAAAAAAATGGCCTCCATTACTGAATGAGCACTACAAAAAGAACATAACCACCCATTACTGTGATGGAATGGATAAAAACATTCATGCACTGAATTTCAATTACATCATTTAATATCAAATTGTTACACAAAAAGAAAAGTCCATGGCATAATTAGCTGCTTATAGCTTTCTTAATCAATGCTTTCCCCTGCAAAATTCAGTTCTTGAGTTTTTCTGAGCAAATGATCCCTTCTGCTGCTTCCAAGGCTCACAGTTAGGCATCAGCCTCCAGGTCTGTTCTCCAATAGTGAGAATTCATTTGTCTATGTTTTGATATAGGATAGCCTATATCCTACTAGGATATATTGGAGATATTTCTATTTTCTGTCATGTTCTTCACCACTCTGTTCTCCCCAATTTAATTTTTGCACCACTCCGTACCTCTTTACACTTTTTCACAGCAAACTCCTTGAAAACATTCATGTCCTCATACAGCAGGCTTATGAATCGTAGTTTGTCAGAAAACCCAACCAAACAGAAAAGGCCTGTGGGATGAAGTGATACTGTGTATGCTTCCTCCTGATATTCCTTACACAGCTCCAAGTTGCTGAAAGAGAAAACCATTGTGCAGTATGGAATAAACAAAATTCCCATTGTGCACTCAACAGGGGATTATCTGGCCCAGCAAGGACACCTGCAGCTACAATCTGACTCTGCCTTGTCCTTGAGGAAGTGTTGTTATTCAGTTACGTAATGATCATACAGGAAACAAAGCCAAATTTGACTTTCTGGTTCATGGAGAAGGTGTGAAAGGTGCGAGAGCAAATCCTCGTGTACTGTAATATAATGAAAAAGGTAAATGAATTGCTAATTGCAATCCTACACTAACATCTCTTGAGATTTGTTTTTCCCTCCAGGGAACCTCAAGAGCTGCAGTCATTTTGTTTTAGGACTATGTCTAAGAAGMAAGAGATAGGACAACAGTATCTTAAGATAAAGCTGAAGGAAACTTTACTGAAGAGTTTTTTCCAAAACACTCGAAGTCTGACACAAAAATACCTTAATAGAAAAGGCTTTGAATTCTTTTGGCAGAAGTTTTAAAGTAACTGCATATTCACACTCCCCAAATTATGTCAGTAATACCATTTACATCCCACACCACACAAGAATTTTACCAGAACAACACTCTCATTCATATGAGAATGCTGCTGTTGCATGCTAAATACAATATACAAAAAAGCAAGAAGTAATAACAAATACAAACAACTGTTTACTTTGTCTTGTAATTCCAAATGCGAACAGATCTATCCAGGGAACACGTGGCAAGAATGGGCTTCCAAACACACATGTCCAGACCAGTRATTGAATTAGAATGCAATGGGAAACTCAGATACGTAAAAAAAGATGTCTTCTCCTGAAAAGGAATGAGAACATTAAAAAAATCACAAATATTTCATTGTAGGCAGTAAATCAGATAAAAAAAATTATCACGAGTCTTTGCATACAGTAGTAGAATAGATTTGAGGGAATTACTTAATCCTTTCACTGCCCTGGTCTGGACATAACAATTAAAAAACCTAACAATGTTAGTTTTAAGTTTATAAGTAATWATCAAGAAAAGTGATGCAGGGCAGAGCCGTGAGAGCAGAACATAATTGTAGGTATGYAAAAAAAGGCAAGTTAGATAAATAAATAAAACTGGACCTGAAATAATTCAGTTAATACCTTCTGGTCATGCAGATATTTGAAAAAAAAATCAAGTACTGAGTGATAGAATACTTCATTAGGATGTCCAGGTACCACATGCTGGAAATGAAGTACCAATAAAATTTTAGACTGCATGTGGAAACAGGACTCCAAACTACAACCCCTCCTCCTGTAAAGATCTTCCCATACATCTCTGTACACAGATAAGGTACTCAACTCCATATAAGCCTATTTCATTATAATACATTTATCACTTGTCTTTGTATGATTTAACTCCTTCAGAGTAGGGAAGGTTTTTCATTATGTTTGCATTTCACAAAGAGGTTTCACTTCTAGCTAGGACTTCAACAACTATGATTTTAGAGTCAAATGAGATTCCCATGGCTGTTCCAGCTTTATCATTGCCATAAAGTTTCTGCATATTATAGTGGAACACAAACYACTACAGTTACATTGAGAATCTCTCAGTTAAAGCCCTAATGAAGTGGTTCAGCAGCAACAGGCACCCTTAAATGGTCTTAAGTGTCCTCTATCACTCTGCTGAGTAGCATCAGGTATTCACATGGAGGGTTGCTTGAGMAAGGGGTTACAGAAATACTGCTCTCAGAGAAGTGCACAGAGCACTTAATATCTTGAGCTTTAAGGGTTCATTTGAAGGATTTAACGAGAATCCATCACAGAAAACAACACTGAGTAGGCTGTGTCATTACAATACTGGACATGAAAGCCAYGGAATGTGATAGAACTAGACTTACCCTTATAAGTTTGGAGGAGAACATAGCAAACATGTAGAGCTGATTTTTATTTGTGCTAACRACCATCGTTTCCTCAGAGGGGCTGAAGCATATAGATGTAATGTCCTGTTTGCATGACTCTTTTGGCTGGGTGCTGAACTGGTCCTGAGGAAGCTGCACAAGAAATGCATCCTGTGGGTTGTGCCAGGTTTCCATGTCTTGGTAGTAGACATTCACACACATAAACTTTTGTTATAATGCTCCTCTAATAAGCATATGCATAATATCAGCAAGACAACTTGGATATTTAATAGCACATTACTGCAAGGCAGGGAATAGAGGACAAGAGGACAACTTAACTGTATCTACAGCATTACAGCTGAAATAAAGTATCAGAGCACATTTCAGCAGTAATCTGAAGTACTGCAATAAACAAGAATTAAAATGCTGGTAGAAAAATATCAAGAAAAAAATAGYAAATGTCAGAATGAGAACTGCCTAAAAAACCGTGATCTCAGAATTACAGTTCTTTGTAATGTATCATTCAGTAGATAAGTTTTATTACAGGGTCTCATGCATAGGGAAGATCTGACCTTTTAGAACCAGAGTATGAAGACTTGACCAGCACATTAGAGTTAAATGTTCTTATCCAGGGAYTGCAGTAAGTCAATGAATACAGTTTGCTATAGAACAGTCAGAAATCTTACTGGATTATTTAAGAGTGCACAAGTCTCATGACAGCTCTAATAAATACCTGAGGGKAGAAAAGCTTCTTCTTGTTAAAAAACAAGCAGCCTTGTTCTTCAAAACCRATGTAAACTACTTCTTAGTCCCAAAAGTCTCCACAAATAAAAGTTTCTTACAGGTTTCCTGAAGTTTAGCAGCCTCAAAGYACATTTTACATGTGGGAAGGGAACATACAGAACTGCCTTGTGAAAGGTCATCAGTCACTGACTTTCAGTGTGACCTTTGGCAACTCCTTTTGACATCACCARGACAGTTAGCTAATGCTCACAATGCAATTTAGTAATGTGCTAAAAAGTATTACTAACTGAATCAGAAGCACTCACAGTCCTTTAAACTGGGCTCTGCTGTATAATTGCTTAGCAAAGCTTTTTCCTCCTTACCCAGACTTCTTGTTTCTCCTCGTATAACTCCTGTTCCACRGTCTTCTCAAACAGAAGAACAACTCCTGGGCTAGGTGAACAYGCAAATCCTTTGGAATATGCTGCAACTGCAGATATTTGAGGCAAAGGATGCTGTTTTGAATCACTATCTTCAAGGACTGATTCACTAGAAGCATCAGAACTGCAAGCAAGAAATTTATAAAGACTTAAAAATAAAGAAGGGCAAATMAAAAAATGCAAGCAGCCATCAACAACATAAACAGGACAAGAAGGAAGTAATTAATCTGCAGGCACAAGCATGGAACTATTACTAATAATATTTAATAGATTTACCTCTCAGATCCTTTTCTTGTYGTACGTTCTTCCTTGGGTGGTTTTCTGTACTCTAAAGTTGTCTCCCATTGCAGCTCTCCAGTTTCAAACAAGCTAAGTTTGCCTGTGTCAGTGCCACATATAACTTCCTCCTCGGACARCCAGGCATGGCACAAGTAGTTTTCTGGCTCTCCCCTTTGCAAATTCATCTGCTTTAAATGTCCTTCACTGTACTTGAAAAGTTTAAAAAAACCATTTCCAGTGATACAAACCTGGGTATTGTCTTGAGGATTAAAGCTCACCTATGGAACAAAAAAAGAAAAGAAGTATTTTTGCAACTATATTCACAAAAAAGCAAATATTATCCCTGTTCTGAAGACTTCCTACACTAGATGCAGGAAAATAAATGAGGCAAGATGATTCATAGAAACATAAGGAATACAGAAGAGATTAAGAATTAACCATCATAACTACATATTGTAGTTTTCCTTTTTCAGAAGTCTATCTACCAAAATTATATCACAAAAGTAAGGTCAAAATACCTCTGATTAGCAAATTTTTCCAGTAGCAAGCTACCTGAAAAGTGGGACCATTGGTTCTTAAAAGGCCAGGAGTAAGTTCTCTGTTCCTGTAATTCAGGCAAACAGTATGCATATGAATTCACATAATTAGGTGTTTATTTGTGAAAATGATGSAATAGCCATGATGGAAAAGGTGCACTGAGAACTTCCAAGAAGTGTGTTACAACTACTGAGCACAGCCAGTAGATTTATAAAGCATTTTTGCCGGGACACAAAGGACACATTGCACACTCACTGGTCAGTTGTACTGGCCCCATAGCATACATTTCATATACGAGAATTTCATGTGATACAACAGATACAGACAGAAGAATGTCCATTATGGGTCAATGCAAAACTTTATTTAGGCTAATATCGTATTGCTGTCAAGAAAGATCAGAGAAACTGTATGAAATCTGGAGTGTGGAGCCCTTTTATTGGTGTCCTCTTGCCCTGGACAAAAGCCAAGTGACCACGGGAAAATGCGCTGTGCACATGTCCTGAAGGATGAACCTATGTCCTACCTCGCACCTGCTACTTGTTGAACTAAAATTTGATCCTTTTATCCACCTTTTTGAAAAGTGCAGTATGCTCCCGAAGAACTACTCAGCTGTGAACGGGAGTGTCAATAASGAGCCGCAGAGAAGCGGGCCCAGCTCGGGTTTGGAAGTGTTGGCAGCGGGCGGAGGTGGAGCGGTTACCTGGCAGGGACCATCGCCCGCAGCGGGGACACGGACAACCGCCGCCAGCTGCGCCTTCTCCCAGAGCCAGCARGCCAGCTGCCCCTCGGGCGGGGCCGTGGCGGCCACCAGGAACCGGCTGTCGGGGGAGAAGGCGAGGGACACCACCTCCCGCGCTGGCAGCTCCTTGGCGCCGGCCAGCACCTTCTTTAGCCGCGCCCGCTCCGCCGTCAGCTCATAGACCGCCAGCACCGGCTGCTCCGCCGATGCCTCCGACACCCCCAGGAACCGCCGGTCGGGGCTGACGGCCAGCGCCTGCACGCCCCGGCTCTTCTCCGTGCCTGTGGAGAGCACAGCGGTCAGGGCGGGCCGGGCCGGGGCCGGGGTCAGGGTCGGGGTCGGGACCGGGGTCAGGGTCACGGTCGGTGCCACCTGGGATGAAGCTGTGCCACTTCTGCTCGAAGTGCAGCCGCAGGCAGCCCGCCCCCGCGGCGTGCACCACCACCCGCTCCTCCAGGAAGCACACACCGCCAGCCACCCGCGGGCGGCAGCCGAACACGGCCACGGGCAGCACTGCCGCCCCCGCCATGCTGCCGCCGCCGCCGCTGTTGCCGTGGTGACCGCGGACACGGCGGCCCGGAAGCAGCGGCGCACGCGGCCGGAAGCGGCGGCAGCGACAGCAATGGCGGCGGCGGTGGCGCGGCGTGGCTCCTTCTCGGACTCCGGCTCCGACTCGGAGGACTCCTCGCTCTCGGACTCGGAGGTGGGTCCGTGGCCGCGGTGGCGGGGCCGGCGGGGAAGGGCCGCCCGGTGCCGGCGGCGCGAAGTGACCGAACTCTCTCACAGCTCCAGGAGGCYTTCGCGAGGGGCGAGCTGAAGCCGGGGCTCAATGTGGTGCTGGAGGAGCGGCCGAAGCGGCGCAATGACACGGTGAGCACGGAAACCCCGGGCCGGGCCGGGCCCGCGGGGATCGGGGTGGGCGAGCTCCGGTGCTCTGCGCTTGGGGGGCTCCGGATGTGTCCCGGCTGCCCCGAGGAGCAGCCCGCGGTGTGACCTGGACACTGAGCCGGGCCAGCCGGGGCGTGCGGTGTTGTGCAGAGCTGTGCTTCTTTCTCAGGAAGGCCTGAAGCAGTGCCTGGCCGAATTCAGCAAGCAGCTTTCCTGGGTGGAAAGGCTGGACGTGACTCTGGGCCCGGTCGCGGACCCCGTTTCTAAGAGYGCTTCTACGTCTGATGCCGTTGACCCTGAGAATGATTTCCAGAGAGAGATGAGTTTGTAAGTGTCAAAAAGAGATATTTATGTAGTGTCCCAAAGTGCTGCTGTGTGTTTGGAGTTATGTTTCATCGGTGTGCTACAGACTGTCACATTGGCTGTCACTGTGGCCCTTTTGGGCCGTGTTATTTTACATTTGATGGCTCTTAATATTTTCCAAAATAATTATAAGTTAGCGCTAGTACATATAGYTTGCCATGTGACTGACAATAAATAATTGCCCACTTCATAGCAGACTTCCATCCCTTGCTGAAAAGTTTATTTTAAAACTGATAGCAGGACTAAGGGTTTAAAACAAGGTACGGATTTGTTTTTGTGGGTTTGTTTTGATGTTCTTACAGCTGGTGCTGTGCTCTCTCCCAGCTACCGGCAGGCTCAGGCAGCTGTCCTTGAAGCCCTCCCTAGACTGCGTAAGCTCCAGGTTCCTACGAGGAGGCCGGATGATTACTTTGCAGAGATGGCCAAATCAGACCAACAGATGCAGAAGGTACGTGCAATGAGTATCTTTCTTTCCTGTGTAACATGTAGGTTTTAGCCTGGGATTAAATTTAAAGTGTGATGCACGAATACTGACCTACATATCTTTTCTGATTCCTCTGATATCGATCATGTTGGAAATGTGGTGACAGATTTTTTTCTGTTTAGGTATTTCAGTGCAATGTAGGGATTTTTATAATAGAGTGGATGGTAAAGTGGAAAAGCATGATTTTTACTTTGTCCTGAATGTGTTTCGTATTAAAAATGGGGAATTTTTCTCAGGATGTCTAACAGTGGATGCGAAGTTGCCTGTGTTTTTGCTCTTTGTCATAAGATTTCCAGCTGACTGTGGCTTTAATGCAGTCCTTTTTTTGCTATTTAAGTATCAGCTTTTATTTATTGTCAGCGTGTTCTGGTTTTCTGTGATTTTAAACTGTATGTTATTGAATGAATCTGTCTTGGATAGAAAATTGCATTTGGGTAGGAAATAAAGTCTTCACGCACTTGCTTCTTGACTGTTGTMTTTGCTCGAAATTGAGCTCTGGTTTTTGGTTTAGGTTTGGAAAAAAGACTGCATTGTGTAAGTTAAACAGACATGAGCTRCAGACTAGTTTGAAGGTTCATGTATGACTGGGTCACTGTTTTGCTTTCTGATAGGACCTTCTCTTTCTAAAGAAGGTGAAGAACAATAGTTAGCCATGCTAAGGCTTAAGCCAAACCTGTGCATTACTGTTCTCTTTTGCTGACTTACATTTGAAGAACAGAGCTTTWATCTCTTAGTGGAATCAGAGAGTGAATCCCAAAGATCTGTGTTGAAATCTTTGTAATGCTTCGTAATGCAGCATCCTTACAAAAATGCTTGTGAATAAGGAGGGTACAGAAGGAATTGTTGACTTTTGTTGATTTCTACAGGATTGTTCACTTTTCTTCACTTTTTTACCTTTAATAATGGTAAGAAAGGAACTATCAAGTCTTCTTTATAAAACCAAGTAGACTGACAAAGTACTCTCATTTCCATTAGAGCCCATTATAAGGCTTTGTCTTGTCTCGTGTGTGAGTTTTATCTTTTTATCCAGAATTTTGGCTACAGATCAGTTCAGGAATTCCTGTAATAGCTGCTCCTTGAGCTGAAAAATTGTTATGCCTTATAGGCTTTATCTGATTGAGAGATGTTTTCTTTTTTATACTCATAGATAGTTCCCAAATAGTGACTTCAGGACTGTACAGCAATCATAAAATTCTCTTTTTTTCTTTTATGTTACTGATAAATTTTGGTTTTTTTCTATTCCCTGATTAGATTCGACAGAAACTTAAAAGTAAACAGGAAGCAATGGAAAGGTCTGAGAAAGCGAAACAACTCCGTGCAATGAGAAAATACGGCAAGAAGGTGAGAAGCTACAAATGGATCTGTGACAAGAATTTAAGAGCCTKAGGGAGGAGCTGGAAAGTGAGATCACAGGAGTCTGGCTAAAATGTACAGAATTTGTCTAGTCTTCTGTCTAGCTGCTCTGAAGGAAAACAGAGCAAAAGACAGGACACCTTAAAAAAAAAAAAAAGTATGGGGACACTGCAAGGAACAGCACTAACATTCTGCTTCTGATCTCAGGTGCAAGTTGAGATTCTGCAGAGGAGACAAAAGGAGAAAAAAAATATGTTRAATGCAGTCAAGAAATACCAGAAAGGTAAGGTCAACTTGTCTAAGAGAAGAAATGAATAATGGCAGTAGTGGTGTGTGAGCAGTGTAGGGCAGTGTGATGTGTGGTCACTACTTCTGTAGTTCCCRGCCTTGAGCTTGGAAAGCTGCTGCTGTGAAGAATCGTGTGCCAGTGGCAGTGAAAARCTTTCCAAGCAGCTGTTCTTCAGTGAAGATAACCTATTGCTATTACTTACTTACTTAGACTGAAAATTTATATTTTCTGAGGTTATAGCTGTGATGTCTTCACTCTTGCAGGTCTCTCTGACAAGCTGGACTTTCTAGATGAAGAGCAGACGTCATCTCAGGGGAATAAAAAAGGCAATGCAAGTCAACGGACAAAGAAGGGGTGAGATCAGAAACAAAAGATAGTTAAACACAGAATGTCTTATTTCTTAAAGTCTTTTTAAGGGATAATTTTGGGGGATAAGAAAACTGTTTTACTTAGTTTTAAAGTAAGTCCGAGGTGGCTTTCTGTCCCTAAAGAGAAGGAAAAGTGGCCAAAATAGAACAGAGACTGAAATGTGCTAGTTTCTGCATCTTTGTTAAGAGGGGAAAGGTTTATGAGGGTTGATGGGAGATCATGTGTGTATATATATGTGTGTCTTGAGARCTTCCTGAATGTAGGCAGTCATCCTGGTTGGTTGTTTTTCAGACCAAATGCCAAAAGACGGTATAAAAATCAGAAGTTTGGTTTTGGTGGGAAGAAGAAGGGCTCAAAGTGGAACACAAAGGAAAGTTTTAATGATGTATCCGGCTTCCAGTCAAAAGTGGCTCACAACAAAGGCCCAGGAAAAGGAGGAAGAGGAGGAAAAGGAGGGAAAAAAGCCCTTAATGTAAGTAAAATGTTGCATGAAAATAATCCTGGTTGGTTAGGAAGCCCGGCCATGTTTGCCAGGGAGAGAAGGGTGCTTCCAGCATCTGGAAGTGATGTCTGTTTTTGGGGGCTAAGCATAAATCACTTGTTAACAGAGTTGGGGACAGTGGTTGGGTATCAGTAGGAAAATGAGCAAGGGAATTAACCTGTCCTTTTTTTTTTTTTTTTTTGCAGAAGAGACCTGGAAAGAGAGCAAGGCAGAAAATGAAGAACCGAGCCCGCTAAGCGGACTGTGCTCCCCCATGGGGTTCCTGTAGTTTTTTGTGTTTCAATGTGTGTTTGTGTTGTCATCAAGCAGATAACTGTGGASACAGCTGGATGCTTTACAGTGACAAAGAAAAAAAGTCAGTGGGAACCAGTGCCTTATCACAAATTCCTTCTTATTGTCTGCTTTGTTGAAGGATTGTTTTCTACTTCCATGTTTGGTGTGTGAATGCATTAAATGGTTTGCACAAAACTCTCTGTAAGTCACGTTAAACTGTTTTATGAATGGTGGCTGAAGCCTGCCCTCTGTTCCCTTCATTCTGACAGCTTTTTCCACCACTACTGTTGAAATGAAGTTGGTGACCTTCAGTTCTGGATCATGTTGCTGATGTCRAAATAAGAAGGCTGAAACTTTCCGAGATAGTAGAGTGTTTTTTTAGATTTTTATAGATGGGTATAGAAACAGCAGTGAGACGAATATAGAAACTTACAGATAGGTTTATTTGTGTCACTGTTGTCAGGTTGCAAGTCTGGACAGACTGAGATTTGCTTWTTTTTCTATTATCTCTTACTAGAAATCTACCAGACTCAAATGATAACAACCAGGGCCTGACATATCACATGTCACTAACAGTCTACCTGTGGCTTTCCCCCTGTCCTAGTCCTTAGACTTGTCTCCCCGGGGYTTAGGGTAGCCATACTTGGTAATCTCAGTTGTCTGGCGTGGGAAATATAATCTGCAATCACTACGGTCCACAGGAACCTGGGAAACAAAAATGACAAACAGTCATGTGTTTTTACTAAAATAGCAGTCCCTCCTGGGGAGAGTGATGCACGGGGTTGTGCTGCTGAGAAATGTCCAAATGACAGAAGAGTAGGGTACCACTGTACTGTTTACTGCTTTGTCACAGTYAAACCTGATGAAAAAGAAAAACTTAATGAATTAAAAAACCAACATGAGTCCTGACTCTAAAAATTGTACTTGCTTCCCTACACACAAATTTAATTGCCTCTTCCCTGCCAGACTAATCCTGCCTGCAGTACCTTAATACCATAAAGCCCAGCTGGGATGTCTGTCTCTAYCTTTGTCATGAATAACTAGTTTACTTGATGTGTAATATGAAAAGTTGAAGACTGTTTTATTTTCTTATTTATCTTAGTTTTCTTTATCACAGGCCAAAATTTGGGTTTCTTGAAACACTAATCTACAGTCAGTCATCATCACAGCTGTTTGTTTGTCAGAGATGATTGATATCTCAGCTTGTTAATCAYATTTCTTTTCCTCCTGTTTATTTACACTTCCCCAGATGAATCCTCCCTAGTGTATCTGCTTTGGGTATACTTACATGATTATCAATTTTCTGGTTCTGCTTGCAATTTGTCTGAAAGATGCTGTGRAGCAGCGCATTTCTTTTCACAGTACTTCTGCACGTCACTTCACATTGCTCACTACACCATTTCTCATGGCTGACTGCTTTAATAAACAGCCCTGAGTACACCTGTGGCATTTGGCAATGCGCTTGGGAGCGACTGTCACTGTAGATGTTTTTCATTCAGCTTTCTCAGGGGATGTGTACTGCTTTYCTGTTCACAAATCTGTGCCAGTGTAAAGAGTCTTCTTAGATGTAAATTCTAAAACTCTTTACCTGCTCATTCCTAGTAATTCTTGTTTTCCACATTTGTCACAGATTGTTTTCCTGCATGAGTATTTTTCAGTGTGAAGGGCTAAACATCTCTGAATCCTGTAAAGAGCTGAGTCTTCAAGCACCCTACTCACCAAAGGTGTTGTGTTCCAGCCAATTTCTTGGCTTTCAGTTTGTGGCTCTGAGTATTTCATTCTTGGTATYTGTACTGCACGGTGAAGAAGATTCAGGAATTCATCTGTTGTTTTAAGAGATACAAATACAAATAAAAGGAAATGTGTTAAAAATCAGTCACCTGGGGACAAGTGTTAGAATGGGACATCTTAGCACTGTCCAAGCATTAACAAGGTCTAGGATAGAGGCACCCTCTGTGCTCCTGTGAATGATACTACAGAGAAAGCAGGGTGACGTTTCTACTTGAATATTTCCTGAGGAAGTTTTGAGAGTTGCCTGACAATACTGTCCTGTTAATTCTGTTATCCCTGTTCACTGTGCTGCAGCATCTTACTTTCCCTACAATCACATCTAGTATAACCCAGTGCTCTGTGACAGCTCTCTRCTTTCTCATTTGCCTGAGACCTGGAGACTTTCCCTGGTTTGGCYTCCTGCCCTCCCAGTCCTTGAAGACAGCAGGCCAACCTTACTTGACCATTAATGTTTTTAGACAAAATTAGCATGTTAGAAATGAAGGAGCAGCTGCTATAAGGGTTCTTGTTACCAGTGCTCTAAAGTAAGATTGGACAGCCCTTTCAGCAGTTTAACCTATGTGGTAGTTAGGTAGAATCTGCAATGGCAGGCAACACGTACACATAGAACATGCTTCTAGGTATTTTGTTTTCCCCTGAGAGGTTCAGATTCTGAAGCAAGATTTTGTAGCATGAATATAATGTATTTTTTGTATTTTATAGTATATCTATATTTTAATTAAAAACAAAAAAAGCATATTTGCATTAATGCAAACTTGTGCTGAAAATGGAAAGTGGGGAATGGGAAGGGACCTTAAAGTGGAAAAAAACCTGGCCTACAAATAAAAATCATGAATGAGTTTAACTTGCATGTTCACAGAGTTGTTTCACATACATGAAATTTTAGACTCATTAGGATTATTAAATCTTACTTATTAATAATTTTCTTATGTAATTATCATGAGCTTTTCAGAGACTTCTTACCATCTGTTGCCTCCTGTATATTTTCATGCCAAGACATTGGCTTCCTAGAGACCATGTGAACTGGAAAGAAATGAGGCAGGTGAATTGCTTTAATGTGAATTTGGGATCACAGCCAAGTATAGAATATGTATTATTGAACTGTATGTGAACAGAAGAAAATGAGTTAGAAATACTGATTAATGGCAACTCCTTAGGAAGGGAGTGCGTTGTGTTAAAGGCCCCTCTGCAGGATGCTGCCAGTGCTCACCACATCAGTCCCACCCCACCCAAGGGGTGGCCTCCAGAGTGCCAAGTGTCAGGAAATCATTTTCCTTTGTTGTTTTTTTATAAAACCTAGACCTGGAAGAATCTACTGACATCACGTGCCTGTGCTAGCACAGACTGTSAATTGGCAGGTAGAAAGCAGACCAGAGGCTGAAGGAATGTGGTGTGGTGTTTGGGTTAGATTTTTGGGCGATCTCAAGCACACTCATTTGGGACAGCCCTCTACCCCATCTTGGCTCTGTATTTACACATAATTTGTGGATTCCACATCCTAAACAGTTGCCTCACTTCTCCRTGGGTTACTAAAGGTGCCATCTGGRCCAATGGGTTATGTCTCCCTTCTGTCTCTGAGTGTGCAGACCGGCTCCTCAGGCAAAAGAAAGGACCACCAGTTGCCCTTYCCAGCTTTACCCCCTCACTGGCCGCTGCTGCCATGGTTGGGTGCAGCTGCTTTTCCCTGAGTGCAGTGCTTTTCCCTGCGGCCCTGCCTCCGCTGTCCACCCCCGGCTCCATAACGGCTGCTCTTGCCCCCGGGGCTTTRCGCCAGTTCCCTATGTCCGCGGGGCCTCACCGGGGTGCAGGGGGTTCACTGTGTACTGCGTGAAGACCAACTGCCATTTCCGCTCCTTGTTGGCCCGCTCGGTGTGCAGGCGGTTCAGCAGCGCGTCGGGCGGACCGCGATCGCTGTGGCGGCCAGACATGGCGGGGCGGCTCTGCGCGTCCCGCGGCCKTGGCAACGCGCGCGTGCTGCCTGTGGGGGCGCTGATTGGCCCGGCCCGCGCCCCTCCGCTCCCGCCTTCTATTGGCCGCAGAGTTAAAGCCCCCGGCGCTGATTGGCGGCGGCGCACGCGGAGCGTTTGAACGGCCGGCGGRGCGATGGAGGCGGCGGAGCTGCGCTGCACGGCGGCCGTGGAGCAGCCGCTGCCGGGGGGATGCGCCCCGCGCCGCCGCCTCATGCGGGACGCGACCGTGCTGCTGGGCCGCAACGAGCTGCGGCAGCCCGTGCTGCGGGTGGCCGGCGGCAGCGGCGCGGCGGCGACGGTGCTGAGCTTCTCGCTGGCCGGTGACGCCGTGAGGCTCTTCACGCGGTTCGCGGGCGAGGGGCGGGCGGCGGTGCGGGTGGGGCCGGACGGCGCCCAGGTGCTGCTGTCCGACTGCCCCCCGGACGMGCTGCGCCGCTTCCTCCGCCTCCTGCGGGTCAAGCTGGCCGCCGAGTCKCGGGCCGCTCCGCGCCGCCCCCGCCTGCTGGACCGGCCGCCGCCGTCCTTCTCCGTGATCAGCCCGGTGCAGGAGCGGGACCTGCCGTGCGGCCCCGGCCGCTGCCGCGCCGGCGAAGAGCGGGGGGAGCGGCCAGCAGAGGTGAGTGCCGGGCGAGGGGGCGGTCTCGGGTGATGGCCCTGCCCTTACAGCGCACCCCCGCCTGTCCCGCAGGTGCCCCGCGCCGTGAGGCGGCCCCCGGCGAGGCTCTCGGCGGAGCAGGAGGCGGTGCTGGGCGCCGTGCGGAGCGGGAAGAGCATCTTCTTCACCGGCTGTGCAGGTGAGGGGCCCCGGGGCTCTCATCGGTMCCCCGGGGAAAATCCTGCCCATTGACCTGTTGCTTCTCCCTCGAAGGGACTGGGAAGTCGTTCCTGCTGAAGAAGATCATAGGCTCCCTCCCTCCGAACGTCACCTACGCTACAGCCAGCACGGGAGTGGCRGCTTGTCACATCGGTGGCACTACTCTCCACGCCTTTGCAGGTGATGGCCTGCCCAACAGCGAGGGGCTGGGACTTCTCACTCCCTTCCCAAAGAACCAGAAGCATCCTATATCATTGCTTTTTCTCGTCTGCCAGGGATTGGCTCTGGGAAGGCACCGCTGGAACAATGCATTCAGCTGGCAGAGAGGCCGGGGGTGCGCCAGCACTGGCTGGCCTGCCAGCACTTAATTATTGATGAAGTCTCAATGGTGGATGGCAAGTTCTTTGACAAGCTGGAGGCAGTGGCAAGGTGAGCAATTGCCCACTCAAACAACTAGCAGAAATTAATTTCTCTGAACTTCCAGGCTGCTTCCTTTCTTTAGTTTTGTGAATGAATACAAGGCAGCTGCTAGTAGAGGACTGTAAGGAAGCATGAAATCAGCAACTGGTTAGGTCTTTACCATGAAATAGGTCTTGGTCATGCCACCTGCTCACTCACAGCTGACACTGTTTGGGTTCTCTCCATCTCCMGAGCTAAGTGTTGTCTACAGAACTCAGTCCTGAATATGCAGCTGTGCCCAGAAGGTCTCTCTTGCAGATAGAAGTAGCTGTAGTAACAGCCACTATGGAACCAAGAGTGGTAATGACCTCTGGGGTAGGTAAGCAAAGCAAATTTAATGTCTTGTATTAGCATTGCTTGATTATTCGAGCTAGGGATAAGCATCTTTCACTGCAGGTGATCTATGTTTAAATATATTGACAGATTAAGAAGTAACTTCTGGGACCTGACTATGTCCAGGTTCTGGAAGACATTCAAAACCTCTCTTCATCCCTTTCAGGACAGTCAGAAAACGGGATGAGCCTTTTGGAGGAATTCAGCTGATTATCTGTGGGGATTTCTTACAGCTACCCCCAGTCTGCAAGGGTAATGAAGAAACCAAGTTCTGCTTCCAGGTACAAAACTGTCTGTAAACTCATTCTCATGCTTCAAGTCTGCCTCTTTCTTAACAAGAGAATTATTTTTTCCAGGCAAAAAGCTGGAGGAAATGCATCCACATAAACATGGAGCTGACTGAAGTGCGGAGGCAGACTGACAAGACCTTTGTCTCTCTCYTGAGTGAAATCCGTTTAGGCAGGTGAGGAGAAACTCATCTCTCTGTATAATCTCTGCCCCCCACTAAAGGACCAGAGGAAAGAGCAGTTTGTCACTTTCCTGTGCTCTATTAGGAAAGTGTAGCTGTGGGCAAAAGCTATAAATATTTCAGCTAACATAGACAGGTTTTGTATATGCTGCTCTGGTAAGGAAGGACAATTCTTAGGGTCCCTCTGCAATTTCTGTGAATTAATTCAAAGGATCCTGAGCTGGCAGTGACCAGGGCAGGGCTGGGGCACACACTGGCTCTGCTCTCTGACTTTATACAGTTATCTTTCTCTGTCCTCTCTGGAAGCCTGCAGCTTGCAGAGACTGATCAAGCTGTGTGGAGGTTACTGCTGCTCAAAGCTGTTCCTGCTCACTTGAAAGACTAATTCCCTTTTCCTGCTTACAAGGTGCACAGAGGAGGTTACCAGGCAGCTGATGCAGACAGCTACTCACAGGTCTGAGCGTGATGGGATCCTGGCTACACGGCTCTGCACCCAYAAAGATGATGTAGAAATAACCAATGAGAGACGCTTGCAGCAGCTACCAGGTGAAYCCCGTGGAGGAAACTGCTGGCTTTGGGCTGAGCTCTGTGTGGGTGAAGTGGAGGTACTGGGGTGTCAGGTGGAACAGGCATTGTGTCATGCACAGCCAGCACCAGTCTAGGCTCTGTGTGTTGGAGCTGAGCTGTCTGGGGAAAGCTGTTTTTTTGTCTAAAAATCCACAATATCACTATTTGGTTCATAGCAGGCAGCAAGCTCATTACTTGTGAGGCAGGTTGGATCATTTATTGCCTCCACACCCATGATTTTTCTTTCTATAGCATCTTAGAAAGGCTGTGCTCTATCCACCCATGACTTGAATTAAGAGCTATTTCAATTTTTACCTCTCTATCTGGCTCTTGGATTCTTCTTTAGTCTGCTTTGGAGATGTGGTGTTGGTTTTGAGTGCAACTGCTCAAAATGCAGGCTGCTCAGTTCTTATTTACTGCTGACCTTTTATTCCTGTGCCTTTTTGTGCTCTGGATGTTACATAGGGAAGAGAGGCAATAGTGAGGTCTCTCCTAATAGATGTGACAAGATGTGTGAAGATGTCCTAGCAGCAGAGCAGAATGGATAATAAAAGAGAAATTACTGTTAGAAATAAATGCTGAACCTCCTGAAACACTGTGTAGAATATGTTTAACGGCTGCAATTTCTTTCTTTGTTTCCTTAACAGGAGAAGAGCACGTGTTTGAGGCTTTGGACAGTGAYCCAATGCTAGTGAAGTTAATCGATGCTCAGTGTCCTGTGGGTGGTAGAGTTGAGCTAAAGGTTGGAGCTCAGGTAAATGTGTGTACATAAATGTGTGATAGACCAGATCAAATGGTGTAAGAAAAATAAAGGATTGTCAGAGAAGTATATAGAGTAGATTAATATATAGAAGGCAAATTTCATCTAGAATGGTTACGCAGACCAACAGAAAACTCTGTCCCAGCCTGTGTATCTTTTCTGCTTCGAATCCTATCCAGACAGAGACTGAGTACAGGTCCAAGTCTTGGRGACAGTGGTGATTGCTGTGACTTTGACAGACTGTCAAATCAAATGTCCAATCAAATTTAGAAGCTTTCCAGTAGCAGAGAGCACAAGCAGTCCTTGCCTGCAGTCTCAGCTCCAGTTACAGCAATTCTCCAAGCCTGCCATATTTGCAGGGCTGGGCACCTTGCTCTGAGCCAGGGCTGTCAGAGTGGAAAGGATGCAGGTTTGTACTTAGTAATAGCACTGTTTGCCTTGAARTCTTGTTCCTTAGTTATTCCCAGAATCTACAAATGCCTAGGCTGGTTGGTGCCTGGGGAAGGGGAAACTGCTCCCTGGAACTGAGCTCACAGCTGTGGATAGAAATAGCTCAAATGTTCAGTGCTGTAAAATTATGTTGGGATTCCTAGGAAGAAAAGGCTGTGAAATAATTTCAATCAAATCGGAGATGGTGCTGCAATAGGCAGGATAGGATGATTTGGCCAAATCAGCCTGATGTGCTTATGCTTTCTGGCAAGAAGTTTAGCTGCAGGTGGCTGAACAGGCTGTAGAACCATTGCATTAAAGATTTTTCTTTTCCTCTGTAGGTGATGTTAGCAAAGAATCTGGATGTGTCTCAAGGGCTGGTGAATGGGGCACGAGGYGTTGTTGTAGGGTTTGAAAGCGAACAGAAGGGTAAGTAAGGCTTTTGAGCTTTTGTTGATGGAAGTGGGAAAACAACAAAACAGTTTGTCATTGGTGGCTGATGACTTCTTAATTTTGTTTACAGCTTGGTAATAATTTGAGGGAAAGCAGGGAGATCTCTGACAGCTTGGGGCTCTCACAAGCTGTGATGTCATGCATTGCATCAGCTGTAGCTATCTGTAGGCCTCTTGTATTCTCTTTTCTGTATTCTGTATGTAAATGTGTATGCTCATTTGAATTTCATGTTTGTTCTGTTGAAGCAAGTTTTGATGGATTTTTGTTTGTTTTTCTCAAAGTAAAATGTTCTGTTACCTGCAAAATGTATTTTTCTCTGCATCTCAACTSATGAAATACCTGACTTTAATTTTCCTGCTTTAGTAGGTGTCAAACATCATTTCAGGACATGCATGTCTGTGGGTTTAGGTTTGATTTTAGGCAGAAAAAAGGTGTTCTTAAGCTGCTGACTTCCTGGCTGTTGAGTGTCATGAAYACATCTCCATTTCTTTCCTGCTCCCATTCCTACAGGGCTGCCTAARGTGAGGTTTCTCTGTGGGGTCACACAGATCATAAAAATGGAGAAATGGGTCTTCAAAGGACCATCGGGAGTTCATCTGAGTCGTCAGCAATTGCCTTTAAAATTGGCATGGGCCATTTCTATTCACAAGAGTCAGGTGGGTATATACAGCTGTTTGTAGGCTTTTACACCATTATAAACTTTATTTCCTGGATGAGCTTGTATTGCTGGTGAAACAGAGAAAGCTGAAAGCCCCTTGTTGAGGGAGAACTCTAGAATGTTTCTGGCTGCAGAGAGAGAGCATCTCTTCTGCTTGTGCTCTTTGCCAGTAGGGTCACAGATGGGCTGTCAGTACTACTGGGGTTTCCAGAAGGGCAYYGCCATCTGCRGAGYYRGTGCTGGACTATAAAGCAGMATTATTTACCACTGTGGGCTGATGRGGGTAGTGTTTCCCTGAGAGTCAGCAGCTTTAGGGGACCCTGAGCTCTGCAGTGTAACTGAGGAAGGTGTTGGAGTCACAGCTGTGCTCTTTGGGCTGAACTCGCTCTTTGGGCTGAACTCGCTCTTTGGTGGTGTGTGATGGGATTTTTTTCAATATAACTTTCAACCTAACACTGTAATATTTCAAAGTTCCTTCCTTTCCAGAAGACTTGATAAGTACTGGTCTTGGAGACCTGTGAGTTTGCTCCAATGCCACTGTTTAAACCAGGCCATGCTGTAAATTCTGCTGGCCCTGGGACAGCTCATGAGACAGGGCAGGCCAGGCCTTACCCAAGCTCTGTCTCAGGTCTGCCTGAGGACTGCTTCAGAATGGTGCCTGATCCAACTACTAGGAGTGAAACCAGCAGGATTTCTTTCCCTGCTGTGTTGRTTAGGTGTGATTTATGGACCTTCACACAACAAGAGGCTTGCTGGAGGTAGTGGATCCTACTCTTTGCTAGGAACTTCCTTTCTACTGATTCCCATATTTAAATCAGTTACCTAGTCAAACGAGACTTCCTTTTGTTTTAATCAAGACCTTGTACCAAGGTTGGTACACTGGACAGTCTGTTAGGGCAAGTTAGTGTTGATACAGCACAACATTCTTGTTTATTTGCTCTGTAACAAACTTCTCTGTGCCTTCAACAGGGCATGTCTTTGGACTGTGTGGAAATCTCCCTGTCTCGTGTCTTTGAAAGTGGACAGGCTTATGTAGCCCTCTCCCGAGCCCGAAGCCTTGCAGGTCTCCGGGTTCTGGATTTTGACCCCAAAGTAGTGAGAGCTGATCCTGCTGTGCTGCAGTTCTACAGACAGCTGAGACGTCATCAGCTTCTAACACAGGTAAAGAAAAATGTCACACTAGCAAAGCCTGCCTTGTGCAACCACACAATGATGAGAGATGTGGGCACCAAGGAGTTTCTTTTTCTTCCTGAGCAAGATCAACACTTGCAGTGGCAGGAGAGATGAAACTGCAGAGAGGGCACGTGGCCAGGCAGCTCTTGGTGGCAAAATATTTACTGTAGTGTTGGGGGATATATAACATTTTCTGGCCCTCTGGGTTGAAAGGATAAGTTGGGATTCTTTGATCCTCCTCTTGCATAAAAAGTGGGCCCAAAAGAAATTTGTTGTATTTTTTTTTACTTCTTTCTCCCCAAAGGATTCACTACACATCCATTCAGATGTTAATGAGAAGGAGAACTGGAAATGCAACTGAGAACTCTTCTGGTTTCTGTGAGATGTCAGCACAGACTGCTAAGATGCAGCAATCTTGTGGTGTRTATTTGATAACAAGGTCAAAGGAAATCTTTTAGATGCTTGCTTYGTTCATCTGACTGGATATGTGGAAGTATCTCCATCTCATGCCTCTGGAATTTGGAAGGCTTCTGTAGCCCCTTTCTGAGCCCAGAGCYTTGAGTACTCCTGTACCACAGATGCAACTCTAGCAAACAAAATGACTGAACAAGGATGTGCCTGAGGGGTGTTTCTACAGTTTTATCCTCTCTGAGGGACCTTCCTACAGTTCTATCCTGACTGCTAATTGTTTCATCCTCTGCACAAACAGACTGAAACTTGTGTGCCTTTCCTCAAGTATACTACATTTGAGAGATGGAAAGTGTGTGTCCCCTTTGCACGCATGGATTGTTCACAGGAACTGCTGACACAAGGGAAAGCAGTGTTAAATATCTGGAAAACTCAATTGTCCTGCAAGAGGAGCTGCCAGGAGCTGAGCTATCCCTTTACAGCATATTGGGGATATGATGTGTTCTTGCTGCCTGACACCAGGAGGCTCTGCATAATTTCTTCCATAAGCAGAACTATCAGAGTTGCACATTGCCTGTTATGCTGATACATTGCCTTTTAATTAGTCTGTTGCATACAATAAGATGTGATTTTTTTTTTTTTTTTTTAACCTTTTGAGGTGAGCTGGCACTGTTTAAAAATAGGAGGAAGCCCCACATCTTGTACCCATAATTATGGAACTATAAGACCTGTGAAGATTCATTACCCCATGAGCAAGAAAGGGGTGAGAGGAGATGGGTGCTGATGGAGACCCCTGCTTTTGTTTAAATACATGAGACTCCTGTTCAGATGAGAGTTTCTCCTGGAAAAAATATGTCTGACTAATAAGGTAGAACCTGAATGTGCAATAGAGAATAATAGTTAAGGACATGTGAGGTGAGCTGTAACTTCCCTTGTTTCAGCAAAAGCAGAGATGAGCAGAACTAATATATTGTCTTCTTAATAAAGGAGAAGCTTTGGTCTTTGTATTTTAGCACTTTGCCTAAAGCTAAAGAAACTTGTGTATTTTAAAATGTTTTACATATGGGAATAATATGAAATAGCATCCAGCTGGAAGTTGTCTCTTGCAGGGGAATGTATCTAAAAAAGCCTCTGCAGTGTAAGCAAGTTRAAGGCCATTTCTTGGCAGCTGCTCTCCTTAAAGCCAGGAAAGGATGTTGACTAGCCAGTGGTTAACATAACAGAAAACAGATTTTGATAAGATTTAAAAATGTATTTTTTAACTGTATTGGGGGTTTGGTTTTTGTTTTTC